GCCCCAGCACCCCGTGGGCTGAGGCTGCTACCCCAAGACAGGGGGGGTGGGGGGGCAAACCGTGCTCGGCACCTCTGCACCCCAAAACACAGACTCCAGCCTGCAGCCCCTCGCAGGCTGCTTCTGCTCACGGGTATGGTGAGAGCCTGTGGGTCAGGCTGCTTGGGGGTATGATGGAAAGCTGAGTGAAGCAGGATTTGAAAATGAAATGTAAAAAATATACGTTAAAGGAGCTGTTTCCATAACTAGGCTCCCTCAAGTCGTATTACCTCGTACTGAAGTCATGTCCCTTAGGTTACAGGCCAAATCCTAATCGCTTAAAGTTCAAAACCAAAAGTCTTCCTAGAAACAGGGATTTCTTTTCACAAGGATGGTGCCATTCTCATTTTTAAAAACAACCTGGTGATTCTGGGCCCAAGTTCACCCAGCTCCAAGGAGACCTGACACACAGTTGATCTCCTTGACATCAGGTGCTGGGGCCACCCGAGGGCTGAGCTTCTCCCAGACCTCCCCCAAGGGCTCCATCACCCCGGCACCCCCAGCTCCTGGGCTGGAGGGATGGAAGAGTTTAATTTCTGGCTGCATCAGGGATCCTTCTGCTCCTCCCCGCTGCCCTGTGAGGGGTGACGCTCCAGGGCATGCCCAAGGTGACGCGGCCATCAGGGCGTCCCTGGGGCCACCCACCCTTCCACAGCCTCGGCACGGGAAATCTGCGCCCATCGCGTGGGGGGACCCACCTGCACCCACGGCCCCGAACTTTCTCCCTGCTTGATTTGGCGTGAAATGCTGGTGGAAGAGGCGGCCTGTGCTTCAAAGCACCAAAGAGCTGGAGATGCTCATTACTTTGAAAAGCCCTTTTGCGTCTCCACGGAAACCAAGCAGACCACCTACCATCTGATGCTTTGCAAAAGCACACGAGGGGGGAGCTCCGAAATACATATAAATTGGTAAACCTTCAAACATTACCTTTTAAATAAAGATGTCCCTGTTGAAGCCACTGACTTTGATTCCAGGCGACATCAAAGAATTTTAAGTTAAGAAAGCGCTACAAATCTACAATTCATTTGTGTGCACGTAGATGAGTGAGAGAGGCAGGCAGACAACACAGGAAAAGTACAAATAGATTAATTAAAGTGCTGGATTTGAGGAGATTCACTCACCGAAGATAGAAGAGCTACAACATCTTCATAAAGGCAAAGGATGAAAATGATGCCACAGTATGTTACAGAAAATATTTTTTGTTCTTAGATGTCTGCACAGCGTTCCCGGCACCCGTTGTACTTAAGATACAAGACAAAGGTAGAAAGCAAGGGGAAACGCTGTCCTACACGGAGCTGCTGCTCATAATGCGCAGGCAACTCGTGTTACAACGCATTTATCTTCCCCGCAGTGAACCAGACCGTAATGCAGCAGCCACACGACATGTTTCCGCGGCTGACACTTCTCTAAAGGATGGGCAGGTCTCGGGGAATCGGCGGCAGCAGCGTTTCCCAAACAATACAGCCTCGGAGTAAGCCCTGCTGCGACAGGCGGGAGCGCTGCTTGCCTTTATCTTAGGTGTGAACGAGGAAAGATTAATAGATTTGGGGCTTTTTTGCAGTGTGCCTGCAGACTCTGGTGAGGAGCCGCGCGGCGCAGGCAAGCCACCGCTCGCAATCGCATTAGCATCGTTAAACATCACGAGCCACGCAGGCAAATATACCTGCCCTTGGCTGGCTGAATCCGAGCTGCTTAAACAATGCGCTCGCAGCTCCCCTGCTCCTTATATTTTTAAGATGTAAACAAATGGGATCGCAACCAGGCAGATAATTGGATTTTTTTACTGCTCGGATCAGTTCAGGGCCGGCTCCTGCTCTCCGTTACACCCCTGCTACAGCGACGGCTTCGGCAGAGCCCCTGGGTACAAGCTCCCTGGGCACGGGCACGGCTCCAGCTTGCTCGCCGGTCCCCGGGAGGAGAGGGAAGGTGGGCAAAGAGCTGCCGGCCCCATCCTGCGCCCGCATCCTGAGCGGGGAGCCAGCCCTGCAGCCCTCCGCCACGGCCTCCTGATGAGCATCGATCGTGCTGTGTCAGTGCCCTTCCCCGCCTGGGGAAGAGCTGGAGGGGGCAGAGACAAACCTGGTCACCCGCTCCCCGCCCTGGCGGGATGCTCAGCTCTGGGTTAACACCATCCAGTGGGCTTCAACCGGGGAACCCCAGCATCAACCTCCCCGAGACATTTCTTCGCCACCACTAAGCTCTGAGGGCACCAGGACTTTACCCAGAGGTAATTGCCAGGTTGCAACTGAACTGATGATTTCCTTGTTCCCCAGGGAGGAAGAAAAGTCTGGCAAAGTGCTGCTTTGCCTCAGTATTCAAACTCAAAAAGTGAGCGTGCATCCAACCCAATTACCTGCCCCACACAAAGCGGGTTCTTTTTTTTTTTTCCTTTCCCCTGCCTCACATAGCAAGGAGACCTCACCATTCATTTTATTCCTGTGCATTCAAATAGAATAAACTTTATGAATTTGGAAGTTGTCAGGGTAACAGCACTCCACCTAACTTGCTGCAACTTCATGAGGGAGCCAAAGTAAAAATGACTTGCCTTTATTACAAACCAAGAGCAATGGGACTTGGTAGGAAGTAAATACTGTTTTTCAAATCAAATGATTACTCTCAAAACGTTTTGCATATTCAGAAAAGTAAGTAGTATCTAACGCAGTAAGGAAGAACATTAAATAATCAGGATTTGGCTGGGCAAACCTAAGCGCTTTCAAGCAAGCCCACGTACCTTTTTATTAAATGAGCTCTGCTGTTCACGTAGTTGGAATCGAAGGAGTAGTTTTCAGTCTGGAAAGAGGAAAGAACAAGGGAGAAGGTTACAAGTCTGATTTCCCCACGCCTGGGAACAGCTGGGTCTGCAGGGCCAGGACAAAAGCAGGGAGCAAACCCTGTGGGAGGGAAGGTGCGTCCTGGCACGAGGCAGATCTCAGCGAGAGGAACAGAGCCGGGCACGGGAAACTCCGGTCCCTGTCAGTCTTTCCACAGGCTTTCACTAAAGAAAGAAAAGGTTGGCTGGTGACCACAGAACAATTTTCAGAGAAGAAATAATGTGACTATGCTCTGTTACAAAACTAATTGCTTTTAATTCCCTGATGGACTCAGTTCTCTGTGTGTCAATTTGACTGAAAGTTCAAAAGGTATTTTTCTTATTAGCGTATAATTAACATGTTAAAATATTTATTGCATAGATATGTAAATGCCAGCAAGGTAATCCCCTGCCGAAGAATTCAATGTGGGCACTTTTCTTTGTTTTACATCATTTCATTTGCAGAGACAGTGGGCTCTGTTATTAATAAAAAAGCAAACAATGGGTGACACGCTTAAAATTTGGAGGGGAGTGAAAGCAGGGGAGAAAAGTTAATGAATTTGTCATTTGCACGTAAAACCCACTAACTCGCTCTGCACCTGAAACACCATCTTTTAAACTCAGACTACATGGCCCCAGGTTTCTGGTGCTTGCAGCAGGTAAGGAACCAAAAGAAGCAATGAGAAGTGGGGGAAGAGAGCAAGGTGTTACCACTCAGGAGGCTGTGGTGGGAGCCACAGTAGGACATGGTGGGAGATGCATGGTGGGAGGTGGTGGGAGCTGTATGGTGCAATGCAGTGGCAGTTGCACAGTAGGATGTGGTGGCAGATGTGTGGCAAGTCACAGTGGACACCATGCAGCAGGACATGGTGGGACCTGCACGGCCCAGCCAGGACCCTTCTTGGGCTTCAGGGACCCAGGAGGAGGCAGGGCTCTTTGCATGAGTCAGGCACCTCAGTCCATCCATCTGTCCATCCGTCCGTCCGTCTATCCATCCATCCATCCATCCATCTATCCATCCCTCCATCCATCTCTCCATCCATCCATCCATCCATCCACCCATCCACCCATCCATCCCTCCATCCATCTCTCCATCCATCCATCCATCCATCCACCCATCCATCTATCCCTCCATCCATCTATCCATCCCTCCATCCATCCATCCATCCATCCATCCATCCATCCATCCATCCTTCTATAATCCATCCATCCATCCATCCATCTATCCCTCCATCCATCCACCCATTCCTCCATCCATCCATCCATCTATCCCTCCCTCCATCCATCTATCCCTCCATCCCTCCATCCATCTATCCATCCCTCCATCCATCTATCCATCCCTCCATCCCTCCATCCATCCACCCATCCAAAGTCCTCTCAGACCTGCAGGAATCCTGCCTAGGCTCCCACCAGTATCCCCTCTGGCCCGGGTGATGCTCCTTGCCCCTCAACCAGCCCCCCTGGGCAGCAGAAGGGGCAGATCCCGCTGGGCTGACAGAAATGTCCTTCCAGGACAGGAGAGGGACAGGCACCCTCCCAGTAGCCCAGTCCGTCCTGCCTCCTCTCTGCCGTGGCTCCTCCTCGTCCCAGCGCCGCGGCCACTCTCCTTCCCAAAAGAGCCGCTCTGGGATGCTATGGCCTGTTTTTATGGCAATTATGAACATGGTAAAAATAAATGCATGCATCTTTAATGTCTCAATAAATAAAGGAACGCGGAGTCTGCTGCTAACGTAATCACAACAGCAGGATGCAGGGAGCAAGGCCGCTGCAGCAGAGCCGAACGTGAAATCCAATCGTACCCCAGCAGAGGTTACACTGCTCAGCCAAGATAATAAAGCAAAGGCAGCGTTGGTTAAGTGTGACCTTTTCTGAAATACAGCACAATATCCAATTTACCAAACACGAACCTCCCAGAGAGAAACATGCAAGGAGCTGCGAGCCGGGGGAGTTGGCCTAGCACTCAGCACAGCTCAGTTATTACTTTCACATAGTAATTACTGCTGGAGAGTCACGCAGGAGATTTATTGCACAAACTACTGGTCCCTGCAGTTCCTGCATCCTCGGTCCTGCAGGATGACTTTGATGGTTAGAGCTCGGGAGCAAACGGACACAGGTATTTTTAAAATACGCAACGCCCAAGACATTAAACACTGCAGAAAAAGACTGATTCTGTGTTTATCCCGGCGCTGTTATCCCAGGGAGGGGATGCTACCCCATGGCAAAAGCCCCAAGCAGCCCCACAGGAGATCCCAGCCCACAAATAGGCTCTGAGGGCAGGTGAGCGATGCAGGGCAGGAGGGATAAGAGCCAGTTTTGGAGCAATCCCTGCTCAGCTGGGAGCCCCCTGAATGACGTCGCGCTGGCAGAGGTGGGAATGGCTCCAGCAAGCCCAGAGCCTCACCTGGCTCTGCCCGCGCGCTCCCAGCCTCGCTGCCGTGCCTAGCAGCTGCGTAATACCCCCTGCACCCACCACCACCTCCCATCAGCTTCATCCCTGGGCACCACACCTCATCCCTGGGAAAACCGGGAGAGGAACGGGTGGGTGGGAGGACCCAGAGAGCAAATTTCAGTATATACAGGTACCTCACAGGGGCCAAGGGCTGCCCAGGGCCATCAGCAGGGAACACTCAACAGGTGCCCCTGAAACGGCGCTGCAGGCTGAGCAAATGCCACACGTGCTGCCATCACCTCTCCTGCCACAGCCCATAGACAGACCTTGCACCAAACCCTGCTCTGACCAACAGTTCCGGGAGCTTTGCTGTTGATTCCTCACCAGGAGAAAGAAGAAACAAATCTTAGCTCAACCGAAATCATTCACCGACAAGCAAATTTCCCAGAATTCCCGTTTGATGGACTGGAGTAACGTCCTTCCCGAGCAGACTCTCCATTCGCCGTGTCGCCCCTTGCTCAGGACGCTCGGCACCGTGTCACTAACCCAACCCTGCACGTCCCCACACAAGCGAGCGGGTTCCCGCAGGGTCGGTCACAGCATCCGTTCCCAGGCTTGGAATCCCCCGCGCCAGCGAACGCAGAACGACTAACGCTAATTACTTCCAGACTTTGGACAAAACGAAGAATGACACAGCCATGAGGATGGGAAATCCGCTTCGCCAGGCTGGGGGTTTGCCCTGGGTGCACGAGGCAGCCCAGAAGTTTACGAGAAGCCTCCTCAGCCATGGGATTATCTGTCAAGGTTATCTCCATGCAGGCTAGGGGATCAAAAGAGGAAAGTAAAAAAAGAAAGGAGATTTTTCATGGAGAAGGGCTGCTTTATAGCTTGCATTATTCAATTGAAGTTCACTTGATTTAATTCTAGTTCATCCTGCAAAGTGCAATCACTTACAAACAGGCAAAACGACAGGGAAGGAGAACATCTCCGGCATGTCAACATTTTAATTGGGAAAGGATCCACTCCCTCTCTTAATGAGGCCCAAAGAACAAAGTCAAAGCACAAAAAAGAGGGAAAAGGTAAGGCTGGCTGGCGCCGATGAAAGTGTGTTCTTCATAAAGTGCATCATGGAGAGGCCAGCCCTCATCGTCTTCGTTATGTTGGCAGAAGCAAACAAACCGTGACTTTCTCACTGATCAGCATCGCTCCCGCAGAAATCAAAGGGAAGCCCAGCCCCGAGCCCAGCTTCTCCTTTCCATGTCCAGAGCTGGGTATGGCAAGGACCTCCCCCACAGCGCTGCCAATTCTTATCTCCTGCTCATCGTCACACGAAGAAAGGATGCTCGGGCTTGTCAGGATCAAATCCTCTGTACTATGGAGAACAATACATTGAAGACATCGGGAAGTGCCAAAAAACACCTCGCACAAACTCTATGGTCTCAGCCTGCCTTTCTCTTGGAGGAGAGAATCCCTGCTGTCCTCTGGGCTCCGGATTTGCTTTCCAGAAGCAGCTGGGTTGGTGTCAATGCCATCAAAGAGAGAGCCCTGGCTCGGCACACAGCTTACCAGTGCCTAATTTGAAAAATGCTTTTAACTGCTGCCTTAGCAACACAAATGTAAATATACCAACAGACACACTGGGAACTGAGCAATCAGCAGGGAAATTTTAAACTTTTTGCTTTTTTTCCCCAGCGGTTGCTGTCGGTTGAGGACTGCCAATGCCATTAAATAATAATAAAATAAAATAAAAATATACAGACGTCAGTACAACTTTTCTTGACCTGGACATCGAGGGGTGGTGTGACATCGCCGTCAGCAAAAGGTCCATGAGCAGCAGGGCGCTGCTCTAACAACTGCTCACTCTCTGGTTTAGAAACAGGAACAAACCCCAGAGGGTCCAAAGGCGGCTTAAGGGGAATTAATGCAAGTGCCAGTGGAAAGGTCAGCAGATCCAGGTATGATCACCACTGTGGGCTGATGGAGAAATAGAGGATGCTGGTGGGGGTCGGTCCTCAGGGTAAGGGGGGATGCGTCCCTGCTAGCCTGTCCATCTTGAGGCTGACGGCCAGGATCTTGCTCTTGCTCTTTCTTCCCTCTTTTCAGCTATTTCAAATGGTGATTTTTTTTTCAAACCAAACTCCACCACTGTGTCTGGATCCAGGCTCATGAGGGAGGGTTTAGCTCCTCGGTCTGCACACATCAGCCCCCCAGCAAAGTCCACGGTTTTTCAAAGCTGGACCCATCCTTCCCGACCCGAAGTGACAGGTATCCATCCTTCTCTGCCAGCCTCAGCCTCGGAAGATGACTCTAAAGCATCTCGATGCAGGTTTTTTTGCCCTTCTTCTCACTTCAGGGTGAAAACATTTCTATCTTTCTACAAATTATCGTAAACCTGCTGCAACCTCCTGCCAAAGCATGTAGGGACCCTTCACAAAATCAGCTTCATAAAAATGACACATTTAGCGCCACTTTTTCAGGGTTATCCCTTGAGCCTTTTTTTTTCCCCCTGCATGCCTTGTTAATAAAGCTTGCATGTCACCCTTTATTATTAAAAAACAAAGTGGACCTTTCTCCAAGGCTGCAACGTGCATC